GGTACCATTTGCATAGCCAGGTCCGGATTTTTTAAGAATATATTACTTTAACTTTTATAGCTACTAATTCCGATTAAAACTATCCGATTTTAAATCGCTGGGTATATTTAAAAAAAGATCGCTGATTTATATAATTATAGGAATCTAGTACTCTGATTTTGCCAATAGTCTAAGATATTCATTAATTAACTAAAATATATCTAATCTCTAATTTTTCTAAGGTAAAAATATTATATATATTAAATATAATTGATCCCTACGGCCATTTTCAGAGAGAACATTTTTCCAAAGCAGTTTTTGGGTAATGTTAGAAGCGATATTTTTTTATTTCCTATCATAACTTGTCTAATTTATTATTTTTATATAATATTATATTTTAAAAATAACTCCGGAGCCCCATTTTAAGAGGCCATTTAATCGTTATTAATCAAACCAGTTTGTTTTCTATTTCTGATTAAAAAAATCGGGATCTGGACTGTTTTTTTAAAAAAAATATTATATTATATAAATTAACTTGTCAAGTTAGTATATCCTTTGTTTGGAAATAGAAAAAAGATTGGTAACATTACCCAAAAACCGCTTTGAAAAACATTCTGTCTGGAATTGGACTAAACATCAAAGTGTTTTTAAAATTTAAATATAAATAAAGGAAGTAAATATTTAAAAAATGTTGTAAAATACCAATATACAAGCATTATAAAAATAGTGGCTGTTTATCAATTATTGTTTGGTAATAATCTTTAAAGCAATTCGGATATAAATGATAATTTTAGCAATTATACTATTAATAACTTTCACTTATAAGCATAAAGTCATGAGTTTCATACCGGTTCACAAGAAATTTTAGCGATTCAGTTCAAGTTAGGTTATAAAAGGGTTCAGGTTAGGTCCAGGTTAGATAAAAAATACCGGTTAATATTGGTTTAAAAGTATGGCTCGGAATCCTGAAAAACTGAAGAACTTTGGGGACTAAGGCAGGTTAGTTCACTCCAATTTATTTAAGATTTCATTATATATGAATTGGAATTTATCTAACATAGCTAAATGTGCCATACATAATTGACGAATAAAATACTTAAAATTCCTTTAATTTTTACAAATTTAAATATTTCTAGAATACCAAAGGTAACAAATTTTAAAACTTTATCGTTTTCGATTTATAGATAAAGCTGTTATTATCTCAATAAATAATTTTAGGAAAGTTTTAAACCTAATTTATAACAATTTTTAGAATTTTAAACATTATTCAGTATGATTTTCTGTGGCATTTAAAAAATTCGATGGTGATGAATGGTTCCGAGAAACATTAGTTTTATTAATTATAGCATATTCATTTAGATTAAAACAAATGCAAATAATTATATAATGAATATTTGTCATTTAGCAAACCTAATATAGTGCTTATCCTGTTATTATAAAACAATACCATAAATTTTTGAGCATTTTTTAAATTTATTATGAAAAATGTATAAAATATAATGTGTATTATTTAAAAAGTTAACAGCAAAATATCTAATATTCAAAGGATAAGTAATCTATTCATGATAGCAGGGTTGGGCAAAAAGTTACAACTAGAGGTACATTAAATTCTATCAATTTGAAAATGTATCGGAGAGCTTTATAACAGTTAATTATTTATAGAACGTAACGTATTTTCAAAAATTTATTCACTATGACATTCTGTTTGGAAAATGCAGTGCCTTAGTCTTCAAAGAAAAAGAATTAATATTTTGAAAGAATACACTATGATTTTAGTACATGTTGCCGAAGCATTGGATACGTCTAAAATGAGGAAAAATACTATCCTTTCAGTCGAGGGCCTTTATTCTTTTTCTAATATTTGATTAGTAGATCAAATAGAAAAAGATTATTTTCTGAAAAATTAATTCTTTTATCAAATGATACAATTATAACATTTCATTGTTATTATATTAATTTCGATAAAAAAATAAAAATAAACTAATGTATGTTTATAATTTACACTACCTTTTTATTATTTTAATGACTTGCATAAATGAATGATTAAAAATATTTTTTAATGTAGCGAAAAGCTTTTACATCCGTTCTATGTTTTGAATGGTAATGTAACCGTTAACTTTTTTTTGAGATAACGCGAGTAACTTAATCATTATATTTTTCCCTTGAGCAAAGGTTCCATTACATTTTTAGAGTAATGTGCCCAATCCTGGATGTTTGAATACTATTCTGGTATAATTAGGCCCCTCAAAATTAAAAACAGCGCGATATAAATTATTTAAGATTTTCTAAAAAAATACCCAGGTTTGTTAAACAACAATGACATATTATTAAATTTCCATTTTAATTTAATAGATTTATACTTGGTCCTTTAATTTTTTAAAAATTATATTTAGACCCTCATTTTTTTAGTGGGGCCAACTAACAACTTCCAACTTATAAAGCAGATAGTTAGTCCAAAATTAATTTAAAAAAAATAACAAAATACTATATATATATGTGTGTATATATCAGAAACCTGCAGAGGTACCGTTTGCAAGCCAAGCCCGGGTAGATTATATGCGAACTTAAGTTATTCATGGAAGAAAATCATGTATACCAATGGAATAAAAAATAAAATGTTTTTAAAACAGAATATATAAATAAAATGAATGATAAGGAGTTTCGCTGATCATTAAAATTGAAAACCGTAAAATGTGTTTTTTAAAAAAAAATTTCTAACTTTTTATTTGTTTCTTTATTTGAGTAAATATAGCTAAGCTAATATAATAAATTATGAAAAGGTAATGGAATATAAATATTAATTTTATAAGACCAAATTAACAAACGATAAATTTAAAAAAAGAATTTAGGAAAAAGAATAAGAAATTTTAAAAGAGGATGTCTAAAAAAGAATAGTAAAAGAAATTAGGAAGGAGAAAGGAAGAAAGTACAAGGAGGCAAGGGAGATTTTTCGATGGAAGAGGTGAAACTTAGATAGAGCGAATAACAGTGGTAGCAAATCATTGTCGTAAAAAAATAGATTTCTTAGGCTGGTCGGTCTTTTCGATAATACGTCTCCCTAAATTTTAAATAGGCATTGAGATTTGCTGTAGTAAGTGGTAAGAATGGAGCAGACGATGGGTATAAATATATAAAAAGGCTCTATGTAGATGTATTTTGTGGATCCGCCTTTCTTGAAGGAGTAGTACGCGACCGTGGAGTCTGTGAAGACTATTGGGTGCTGGTTGTCCTTGTGAAGAGCCATGATGGTTCCCATCCCCACTGCTAAAACCTCTTTGGCATTGATGTGTTCGATAGCATGAGTAGGGACATTGAACAGGAGGCATCCTTCGTGAAAGGCGACGAACATGTTATCATATCCCCAGAAGGAGATACCGATGTGGGATCCAGACCAGAGGCATCGGTGTAAACCGGGTTATTAGCCTTATACCTATTCCTAAGCAGTGTTTTCATGGCTTCGATGATATTACTGGCCTTTCTGAAAGCGAGGTATGTGTCGACTATGGGTGCCAGATTTCCTTGGTTCAATGTCACATAGTATGGTGAAAATAACCTGGACATCCCTGTAATTGTGTAGGCATAATGATTGACAACGCCTAGAACCTTTGCTGCGAGAAGGCGCCCCAGCTCCAGGTGTTGGTATGAATGTCTTCTGAAGACTTCTAGGCATTTCTCCAGTCGTCTCGTGTTAGTGTCTGCCGTAATCGTGGTTTCTAGGTCTATGGGCATCCCTAAGTACGTTATTTGTGGCGTGGGGTCGAGGATTGACTTCTTTTGGGAGATTTCAAGACCCCAACCCTCCAGGGTACATCTTAGAGATCTGGTTGACCATGTGACATCCTGCTCTCCCCATCGATGAGGATGTCATCAAGGTAGACATTATAGTTCGCTCTCCTTATAGTTTTAGCACACGCCTCCAGGATAATGGACTGGAGACAATACGGGCTGAAGGAGGCTACCATGGGAAGGACTTTATTTATAGGCATAGTTTGCCCCGTCGAACTTGAAGCCAAAGAATTTCCTGACTTGTATTGCTAACGGTACCTTTGTCTAGTTTAGCCGACACAGAGGTATAGATTTCAATCGGAATGGATAGTGTAAAAAGTTTTTAGAGACTTGAGAGAAATCGCTAATTACTCTAGGTGAACCGTTTGATTTTGGAATTACTAAGAGGGGGGAACAGATTTGATCTGCTCTAGTTGATTCTATAATGTCAGCGTCTAGCATGTCTAACAATGTATCGGTACCGATTTGCAATGGGGAAATTGTTTTCGTGTCGGAAATATAAATTATTATTATTGTTGATTTTTAGATGATCTAACCGCGGGCGAAAGCCCCGAGAAGCGACCCTTCTCGTGATCCTAGACATAAGAGGGCCGGGGGTTAGCCTGGCGCTGCTGATGTTGAGGTCCGGTAGCGTTCGCAGCTGTTCGTCTGTGAAGGTCACATGCGTATTAACTTTGCCGATTCCATTAAGGATGTCGAGTAAGTTACCTTGAATGGTACATTTGAATCAATACAGGTAAAGTCCCAATCCAGGAGCTGACCACTTGACCAAAAAATTATGGACATTCCATCAGGACGTTTTCCATCGGTTCTAAATTTATCAGTAGGTTCAAGTCTATATGGAATGCCTGCGAATTTGAGTGCACGCAAAATAATGACATTACATTTGGGGTGCCGTGGGAAACGGTCTCAATAAAAGGGGCAATGGAGGAAATATTTGCCTTTTTTTAACCTTAGGATCAGTTTCATCGCCAAAACGAATCCCATAAATATGACACTGCTCAAAAATGATACGATTAATTAACATATCTTTATAACCGCTATATATATTTCGATATGTAAATAATTTTTTTATAAATATTATCAAATATAATATAACACTTTTTTTTATTTATAAACATTTTTAACTTATCCTCATTTTTATATTTATTTAAAAAATTTTTTAACTATAAAATAAATAATATATAATCTTATTTTATTTTATTATATATTATATTTTATTTTATTTTAGATTTTAATTGTTATATTTTTTGTTTTTTTAAAATAACATAAATAAAGGGATAACTTAGATTTCAATTTTTTGTTATAATGGGGAAGAAAATAATTAAAAAAATTAGGTATTAGAAAAAAAAAATTTCCGAGATAATGTATTCTGACGGAACAAAAAATCTCAGTAGTGCTTCTTTCGGGTCTTCGCCAAAAGCTCATTTAAAAACTTTTTCAACTATTATGACACCCACGAGTGCCAAGATTGATCGCGATTCCATCATTGATTCTAACGGCAAACTAACTGCCACTTACGTGAATTGGCTCAATTCTTTTCCGAGTATCAAGGATTCTGATTCTCAGAGGCAAAGTTTTAAGCACTGCTTGAAAAATTTCATATTTCCATATCATTCTATCATAAAAAGTTATATATTTTTTATATCTTTATAATTACATAATTTTCTAAATTTTAATAAAATTAATTATTTATTTTTTTTGTAAAAAATTGAAAGGTTTTTGTTTCTGAAAATTTAAAAATAAAAGTAACATGAAAATCTAAGAACCTAATTTATATCTGCCATACCCGGCCCGACCAACTAAACATTTTTTATTTAAATAGCCTTGACCTGACCGTGCCTAGATTTTAAAAAGCCGGATCGGGTAAAAATTAAATTCCAACCTGGTCAGGCCTAAAAATTTTGCCATTTGCAAACCTCTAATCACCACCTAAAAATTTTTTAAAACCCCCTAAGTAAAACCGCTCTAAATATAAACAAAAAAAAGGGTTAGCATTTCTTAAAAAAAAATTATTTTTATGAAGTTTTCTAAAATTTAAAAAACAGCTTTTAATCTAAATAGAAAAAAATCCTGTGCCGCTTCTGTATTAAGTCAAAAGTTAGAAAATTTATTAAAGATGGACTTCTTTTATAGTCGAAATTTAATTTACCGATCCAAAAAGAAATGCAATTTGTACCAGTGGCGTAAACTTCATTTTTTACTTGATAAGGCCACTTCCCGAACCCAAACGTAACCCCTGTTAGCATTCAGTTAGTATGAATTCACGGCGAAGTACACAAAATATGCTGTTTTGTGTATTTTTATACACTTAGCCCTGAATTCGCGCTGACACCCTATTTGTTAGATCAAGCGCCACCGATTATTACTTTAAAATGATTAAATTCATCAAATCAATATTAATTAGCTATAAGAGAAAATAGAATTTGCTTATAAAAGTTGTTTTGATTATTATAAATTTTTTCGTTATTAGTAAAATGTGAAGGCTAAAGGGTGATACTTACTTATATGTATTTCCCCCTTCTAAAATAAATATTTACTCATTTTTTTAAAACATTTTTCTTTTCCTATTTTCTTTTTTTTTTATATAAAAAGTTTATATTAAATTCAATTGAATATTAAATGGTAAAAAATAATTATAGTTTTCAACGATTTTGTATAATAAAATATTTTTTGAAAAAAAAATTAATTACCTGCATAATTATAAGTCAAAATTAACCCTCATTCACTATGATTTTAACCTATCACCGACGCATGCGCATCTTTAGTTACACTTTTTAAAAAAAAAATATTTTTTTTGTTAGCCTTACCTTATCATTAGCGAAGGTCACTGTCTGGTCTGGTCCGGATGATTATGCCCTCAAATTAAAGACCGGTTCAGGCTATGATCCTAAATAAAAAATAGGTCTAGGACCGGAAGAAACTAAAATATGTACACAAAAATTGACTAAAATATGTACACAAAAATTGACTAAAATATTATATGAATTGAATAGTAAGGCCAACTTAGATATTAATAAAAGACTATACTGAAAATAATTAAAAACCAGCCCAGACTGCAGCCCTGTAAAAATGACCGGTTTTTGAATTGGTTTATTTAAACCCATCTATAATCGAGAGGACTATCTTCACTACTTATTATAGGTAATATATGTCCAAACAAAAATAAAATAAATATATAGATAAAATTTATACATTGTAACATTTAATTTAGTCCATTGGGCAGGTAATTCTCAAATATATAAACCTTTTATTTTAAACTTACAGTCTTTTGCTTTAAAACTACTAAAATAATCGGAAAAAAAATAAAAGTATAATTATCTGTGAATGTTAATGATTTTTAAAATAAATTTAAAAAACAGAAAGAAAGGTGACACTTTTACATATATTTATGTATATCGAGGTACATCATAAAACACGATAAATTCCTCCTAAATCTCAAATTAATTTACCACCTAACCCATAGGTGTAGTAAAGGTCTATTTAAAAAAGTATTATATGATAAAAAAAATGTCAACCAAAAATTATTTTTATAAAAATAGCTAAAGACCTACGATAAATAGACCTAAAATACTTCCATTAAAATTTATTGGGGAAAACCCCACCTAGTAGTTCTTCCCATACTCCCTATAAAAATCCTGGCTACACCTATGCCATAACCTTTCCTGAATTTATACCGTTGTAATTTGTTATTTATATTTCTATTATTTGTATATTTCAAATGCAAAGAGTTGGAGGAAAAGATTTTTCGCTTCGATATTTCACATATACTTGATTATTTTTAATTTATTTATGATTTTTTTTTAAAGTTTACATAATTTTTACTGTTTAAGAAAAACTTTTGTCTTTTAAATTCATTCAATTTTTTCCTTTTTTAATTTATAAATAACTGTATTATATCAATTTACTCATTCTTTAATAAATTAAAAATTGCATTGTTTATGCCAAAAATAGGCTATTATACAATGCGAAGAGGCCATTATAAAATTCATTATCATTATTATACCTTCTAAATAAAAATCATTTTTCAAAATTATATTTTTGGCAAATACTCTTTTTTATACTTAATTGAAATTGATTTACTTTTATTTATTTTTTTTGAAATAATAATGCATTGCTTAAATAATAAATATAAACTTAAACAGATCACAATTTTAATTGGGAGGCTTGATTATATAATTATATAGATTCATAATTAACGTTTATTATATCGATAATATTTAATTTTTTTCAAGCGCTATTTTCAGACGCTTTTTTTTCTCACGTTTATGGGTTAATGTTAAATGTAACATAGTGTGATATTGAACTAACCAAATTTTGATGCTGCTGAGGTAACACTTTTATTTATAATATTTATTTTTAAAGAGTGGCTCTGGCCTAGTGTTGTTAAAAGGCGCGATTTGAACCGATTTTTGAAAATTCTGACTCAAAATTATAGCCAGGAAAATATTGTCTAAACGTCGAGATTTCGCCAATAGATGTTGTGTCATTATGAGCAAAATCTTTAGGCTTGAAATCTTAAGGCTTGCATAGTATTTTTCTGAAAAAAATATTTAGTTAGCCCTTTTTAAAAATCGGCTCAAATTGAACCGCTAACACTACTCTGGCCTAGTCGGATGAGTGCGTGTATTTCAATCCAAAGTTTCTGGACTCTAATCCCATGAGGATCATGTTTTTTTCTGAAGTTATCAACTTGGTGGTTCAATACTTGGAGGATGATATAAAGTAGATCGAACTCGACCACATGATTCCATTAATAAATATTAAAAAGAAATAGGTCCTACTACATTTTTTAAAAAATTAGTCGTTGTTTAGTAATGTTGATTATGCAATGTTTAACATTAGCCCATTTATAAATTAAAGATCTGAAAATAAAATTCAATTGGTGGCAAAAATTTATCCATAAGTATAAAATAACACTATTTTTTAAAAAAATGGTAGGGAAGTGTTTTTGAAAATTAATTTAAATTTCAATATTGGATCCGGATTATTTTATGTACATTAACCACAAAATCTTAATTTATAATGTTATATCAAAACACGACACGATATAATATTATGGTGATCATGATTCTTTAAAAAATCTTGTATTAAAATTTAATTTTTTTTGGTATAATCTATCAAAATTTACTTATCTGGTCGAACACAAATTGTTAATATATAGTATATAATGTATACATTTCCATAATTTGATTTTCGATAGAAATAGCATATAAACCTTAAACCATTAATATTATGCATTAACTATGCTATAAAACAAATAATGGAATGTATAGCGTAAACTAATATAAGTATCATTTCAAGCTTTTAAACATTTTTCTACTTGATGACTCGTGCCATGTAAAATATTTTAGGCGTCTAAGCAGATTTAGCCGGTTTCCAGCGATAGAGACGTTATTGTTATAGTTATGCTAAATAACGTTAAAATAAAAGGTTGATAAAAGAAAAGAAGATGAAATGCAAGTGGAACAAAGTTTTTCAGATGGCATGAAAAAAAATGACTAAATTCAACACAAACATAGCCGTAGGTGACATTTCTATCTAACAAAACTTATTTCAAATCAAACTTTTTTAAAATAAAAAATATTCCAAATACATCCTCACGTCATTGATGCTCAATCACTATTATTTTTTCCCCCCATTATCAATTATATCTTAAAATTAAAAAAAATCGACAATATAATAATAAAATATTAATTAGTATTTATCAAAGACTTGATGGACCGGAACCTGGCCCTGCGCGGAACGAGCCGAAAAATGTTATCATTTTAAACCTGAGCTTGGCTTAAAAATTTAAAAAATAATAGTAACTCGAACCGGTCGCTTAAATTTTTTCTTCTTCTTCTAAAAATATACATTATATTAATATTTCTATTTAAAAAAAATTATATACACTAGAAATTTTTGAAAAATACATTATTTAGAACTCCATAATAAAAAGAAAATATATTTAATTATCTTTAAATATATTAGTAATAAATTAATTTGATGAGTTTCATCGTTTCAAACCCCCTTTATATTTGATTTTTTTATTCCTAAAATTATCAAAAAACTAAATAAAATTTAAATTTTTATTTTCTCCATTAATATTTTTACTTAAATATTTAATTATATAGGTAATAAACACATGTCATGAGTTTCATCGTTTTAAATTGGAAAACTTTTCAAAATAAGTTGTTTTGTTTTACCAGAAATACAATGCCACTGAAGATATTTTAAAAATAAATTTTGCATTTTCCTAAGGAGAATTTTAAGAGATATAATGATATATGATTTGTTATTTTGGACCAAAAATATTTTGAGTATTTTCAGATTCGTTAAAAGAGGAATAGGTCTTCATCGAATTTTGAAGGCCCATAACTTGAGATATTTTTGAGATGGGGCATTAAAATTTGGATTTATATAAAATATACAATCTATTTAATTTTCATACCAAGTTTCATCTATTTTTAAAATGGTAATCCTAATCACTGGGTGATTTGTCATGGAAAACCCATTTATATTTTCTAATAAACTCTATGCACAGTATTATACCTACAAAAATACGAATCGAATAATTTATTATTCGTATTCGTATGAATAATAAAATGATTATTCGATTCGATTCGAAAATTTTATTTACACCATGAA